TTACCATTATCCAATGACTAAAGCTACAAAAAATAATTTGTGTCTAATTTAAACTCTGTTTAAAGTTTAAAATATATGGCGTTCAAATTTTCATATCGATATCCCTAAACCTCTCAAGTTCAAAAACTCAAGCGATTAAGGTGGAGAAAATTCACCCCTAGCAAGGGGGCGGAGGCGTCATAACGGAAAACTTTAGGAAAATCCAACCCCTAAACGCTTGGCGATTTTAAATACCGACGGTGTGATTTTAATTATTTTATTATAATATCCAAGGGATGGTATTCGATAGGTTAATTTGGGTGTTCTGTTAGGGATGATTCCTTTAATCAGACAATCATATAATGTGTTTATTGCAGAGAGTATTTAAGATCAAAATGAAGTGAAGAAAGTTATATGTTGACGGATATAAGAGTAATGGACGACCAAAGAAAAGATGGATGGACTGGTTGAAAGAAGATATGGGTAGGAAGGATATTTCCTTCAGTGAATAATGACGCATGAATTTTGTACTGTATATGTTAGTTATATTAACTTCTTTTCAAGCATCATCTGTTGCATTTTTACTAACCTCAGTGGTTTTCAAATGCACTAAGTATAATCAATCATTGTAAATTGCTTTGTAAAATGTTAAATAAATAAATAGTAAATAATAAAAAAACAGTGTCACTCCGGGAGAGCCGACAGAAGTGAAAACTTTTGATATTCTTTTTTTTTTGTTTATTCAAAACGTTATAACATTAATATCTATGTTGTACGTTTATACACAATAAATGTTTATAATACATATAATTATATTATCAATGTATTTCAACCCAAACTCAACTCTCGTGTAAACGGGGCCAATATATGTAGATACTTATATACAGAGGTAACGGTAACAGTGTTGCGAGTTAAAAATACGGAGTGTCACCACCCCTATTCATGACGTGGGTGTCGGAAAACGACTTAGGATTAAGAGAGCAAACTACGCAGGACAAATTACAACACTACGAAGAGAAGGAAAACTTGACACAAACCCTTTACCAAACCGTCTGGCCAGCGTGGTATAGTAGGCCAAAACCTCCTTTCTAAAGTGAGGCCTATGTCCAGCAGTGGACTATTAAACGCTGTTGATGATGATGATGATTACTAACTGTGGCTGTAGCTTTGCTGTGCCACATTGTGGTTGTATGGATGGTCGCCTATGATTTCGCGAAAGATAGAGAAGAATAATCTTTGAAGCTGGTTTTATATCGTGTCAAAATTTGAGCTCAATCGGTGCAGAACTTTTTGAGTTTTTGAAGCGTACACAAACCAACTAAACATCTTTACAAATCAATAAAATTTGAGTGTCTGTTTGTAATATTAAAATAACCGCTTTTATCTAAATGCATATGTATGTTTACACGGTACATATGCCAAAATATTTTTTTTTTTAATTTTTGTCTGTCTGCCTGTCTGTCTGTCTGTTTGTTCCGGGTAATCTCTGGAACGGCTGCACCGATTTCGACGGGACTTTCACTAGCAGATAGCTGATGACATGAGGAGTAACTTAGGCTTCTTTTTTTAGACTAGCTTCGCCCCGCGGCGTTGCCCGCGGTTATAACAACAAACGCGGGTAACACCGCGGGTCTCAGCTAGTTTTTTAAATATATTTAGATTGACTGCACGGATGGTGTAGTGGTTTAAGCGGTCGCCATGCCGCTTACTACTACGGTATGTGCTGTGGGTCCGATCCCCACATGGTGACTACACTTTGTGTGATCCACAAATTGTTGTTCTGAGTCTGGGTGTTCTTTGTGTCCGTTTGTAAAGTCCGCCGCGACACAGGATATACTTACTCCTAAACCGGAATTGTCTTTTTTTTTAAAGAAAAAGAAAAAAGATTAGTACCTAAAGGTCTCATTGGGTCAGTCTGTCCTATCCATTCAAAAGTAGCCGTGAAGAAATCACTTCATTGTGATAATCTGAAATACCCATTTCTGTATTTTTGTTTTCTTTGTGTACAATATAAACAATACTTACTTTAATTATACATACAGATGGTTCCGTTTAAAGAGTCCAAGACTTCTCGGGTTTGATTCTAACCCTATTTTTATCTATGACTGGGTGTAATTTTTCTATATTAAATGTATGTATTACGACATATGTGTTTAAGTATGTTTATCTGCGGTCTGGTTACGATAGCCTAGTTTGGGATGATACATCCGTGTGTAAGATGTGTGAGGTTAGTGTTATAAATACATTACTATTGAGTGTTTCCACCTCCTACTCAAGTGTCCTGCAGGCGGTACTGTCGTGTTCCGGGTTGTTGATCCTGACTATATCGGTTAGGGTACGCAATGGCTGGGGCTCTTATGGGCTCTTATGCCGTCTGTATGCCGACTCAATACTATGGTCCTTTCTTCAGAAGGCCAACCCAGACTTTATACTGCACCTTCATAGTAGACGACTGCATGGCGTAGTGGTTTGTGTAACGGACTGCTATTCCAAAGGTCGCGGGTTCGATTCCCGCTCAAGTCAAACATTTGTGTGCATCAACATTTAATGTTTGATTTGGTCTGGGTGTTTCTATGTATAATATGTATGTATTTACAAAAAAAAAGTATATATGTATTTATATCAGTTGTCTAGTACCCATAGTACAAGCTCTGCTTAGTTTGGGACTAGATGGCGTTGTTATTATTATTATAGTTCTCTTTAGTTGTTTCTTCCCAGAGCGAGTCTTAGGAAATGCCAGCGCCTTCTAGCTGTAAAATCCGACTTGTAAAAAGATTGACTTGCAGAAGTAAATATCATTTCATTATTTCACTTCATTAAATATATAAATAAATCTATCAATCGCAGTTGAATATAAAATAATCAAACTTGTACTAATAGGATAACGATGGGATTACAATATAATTCAGATCCGAAAACGGTATAAGGTATAAGCAGATAGCGGTAGTAGATAAATTGACTGTCAAGTCAAATTAAAATATAATATACCTCACACATCTCACACAAGGCCGTCTGATCCCAAACTAGGCAGAGCCTGTACTATGGTAACCAGACTGCTGATAAACATACTTATATATTTTTAAATACATCCATATTATAGATAAACTACACCTAGACACAGAACAATCGAACGTGCTCGTCACACAATATTTGTCCTGGGTGGGAATCGCACCCACAACCTCCACTAACCACTAGACCAACAGGCCCGTCTCTATATTTCTTCTTCTCAATATTTTTACTGAACGTCAAAACAGTGAATTAGGTACAAATTTTTAATTATTCGAAAACGAAAGATGCGATAACGTAATATACATATTTGTTAACATAATATACGTGAAACAATTTTAATAATTCTTTTTTTATGGAATTAATTGAACTTGAGTTCAATATTTAACATTTTATTTTTTTCTATTATTCAAGATTGAAAATTTGAAGGATGAAGAATGAAGGTTCTAACAAGTTATCGATTTTGGTGCATTGAATTTTATGATACATTATTAAAGTTAATTACGAAAAAAAAATTGACGGCCGAGTGTCAATAACTCCTTTTTTTTAAATTAGTATAAGGGAGCAAACAAGCAAACTTTTCACCTGATCCTAAGTGACTATCGCCGCCCATGGATACCTATAACTCAATAGTCACCAGTGGGTTACCGCCTTTTGAGTGCCTTCTCCCAGAAACAGGGTGTTTGAGCTCCGGCACCTCACTCATTCGGTGAGAAGCAACAAACAAAACAGTGGCACTAAAAATCATATACATATACAGACCATATCTAATATATTATAACCTAATTCTTTATTTGTTTTGTAGTATTTATAGATTTATTTGATTCTGAATTTGAATGGATTTGAAAATGGCGTGAATTCTTTTATTGGAGTGCAGAGGACTCGAAAAATCACAGAATCCCGAATGAGAATGTAGTGTCATAAATGATGAGTAAGTGTGTTTACAAGAAGGCCAACGCCCCCGATAACTTGTCACTGAACTGCCACTGATACAAATGTCGTTGATTTCTATGTAATAGTTTGATATATATTACATTTCAAATTTGTAAGGAAATGTAATATTTAATTTTCCATATAACCCCATGTTGTTAATATCACGATTGATGAGCCATTACTACAAAATCGCCAGTCTATTGACACTATGAATTTATGTTAGTAGAATACCGATATTTTGACCGATGTTAATGGCATCTCAATACCGTGTTAATGGAATGACAGTGGCTTGTACGTTAATATAAAATAGCAGAATCAAGGCCCAGGTGCCTCGTCTGTTCATGGCTCCCTGTACCTACCATAAAGAGATTGATCACACTTCATCGTTAATGACGTTTTAAATAAGCCAGCAACGAATCTTTACCCTCATGATAAAAAATCAATCTTAAATTACATGCCCGCTGCATCTCACTCCTTGCACCGCTTTCCACCCTCAATTTTCTTACCCCCTCGCGTCAAAGACACCCGCACCCTTAATATATCGTGTGCCTTTGTTATAATCATTAATCAACCGAGTTTCTGCTTTAAACTAAGTGAAAAACATATTAACTCTCCCACCATAGAAGCTAAGGTATTTATTTTTACTATATATATTTGTGTATCACATCAAATCACATTAACGCCGTCTCAGGTACCAGTTGCCGGGGAACCAGGTGTACCCTAGAAAGGAAATCCCTGGTACCCCGACGTACCTAAGGCCATCTAAGGCGTGTAGATGACACCCTCCTGTGTGGGAGCCCGCCCTCTCCTAATTCTAGGAGGCAGACTCAAATGGCGGTAACGCTTTTGTGCCTCTTGAGTGATGGGTCTATGTGCAGCGATAATCACTTATCATCAGGTCGCGTCTGCTCAAATGAGCCAGGGTCCCGTCCCTGATAAAAAGATTAAGCACTTGTACCGATGAAAGAGTCTCACAGTGAGACTGTGCACATACCCAGCTGTGGGTCAGTTCATCAACAGAGCTAACACTAAAAACTTAAGTCACTCAACTGTAACTCTTTTTTGCAGAATACCGTCAACCAATGATCGGTAATCCATGGCCCATCGCCAAGCCAATTGCGAGCAGACCGATACCAGTACAGCATCAGCACCTGCAACATCTTCTAGCACACTGTCATCATCCATATTTAGCTGGTGAGTTTTTATATTAATAAAGTTTTCACCCGAAACTGGATACAAAGGTCGCGGGTTTGATTCCCGCTCAAGTCAAACATTCGTCTCAATATTTAATGTTTGATTTGGTCTGGGTGTTTCTATGTATAATATCTATGTATTTACAAAATAGTATGTATGTATTTATATCAGTTGTCTGGTACCCATAGCACAAGCTCTGCTTAGTTGTGGACTAAATGGCGTTGTGTGAATATGGTAGAATTTTGTTTTTTATTATTATTGTTTTATTTAATTCACACACACACACACACACACATCACATTTTATTTAATTAATAACACAAAAATAATACGGAGTGTCACCACCCTTAATTATCCCGTGCGAGAAAGCCGACAAAGGGAAAAACTACGCAGAACAGCAGCACTGCCAAGAGAAGGAAAACTTGACACCAACCAACCAGTCTGGCCAGCGTGGTGCAGTAGGTCAAAACCTCCTTTCTAAGAGGCCTATATCCAGCAGAGGACTATTAAAGGCCTTTTATGTTATGATGATGGATAAAAGAAATAAAAAAAAATGGAAAATCCCCGACATTAGCACCTAAGGTCTGTCTGCAGCATCAGGACAGGATTACCATATCATGGAAACATCACTTAATTAACAGCACCTACACCAAATTTCAAATCAATCGGTGTTGTGTATGTTAGTGAGATCCTTTTATCAACTACGAAATGACATTCACAAGTTACAGCCAAGAACCATCTCGATTACGTATGTCTTCAAACAAAAAGAATCGCATCATGATCGGTCATTTCGTTTAGGAACTACGATGCCACAGACAGACACACAAGCTTATAACACCCCTCTTTTTGCTTCGTGGGTTAAATACTAGTGGACAAAATTAAAACTCAGTTCAAGTTAGTGGCTAAAAAAAGCTATTACTTAAGTGTTTTATTGATCAAACTAAGGTTCATTAATCCAAATACTCGTATTATGAATTTTAGTTTGTTTGTTTGTTACGCTTTCACGTCAAAAGCACTAACCGCTTTTAAATATTTTTTTCACCAAGGGAAAATACAAGTAACATAGCTACTTTTTACAACAATATTCGATATACATGTGGACGTAGCCGCGGACAAAAGCTAGTGGATAATAAACGAAAAGAAAATCAATTGAAAAGTAGACGATAATTAAATACTCACCTGTTTTGTCTTTGCCTTGATATTTTAATTATCATTCATTTGGTGTCAACCTTTCGTTAAACCTGGGTACCGTTCGTTAAAATAGTGAAAAATACACCTATTTTCACCAAATCGATTAAACAATACGGTTTCATAATATAACTTATTCTTAAATAACAATAAAATACAAAGAAAAAAACATAAAATAAGTATCGCGTATGAGAATCTTATTTTTTTTAAAACCACAGACAATTTAACTCACTTTTAATCCCGGGATCGAGTTTATTTTTTTCATAGACAATAAAAACTTTTTTAGCAGACCTCCGATGTCGAACGCTATTGTGCCTAGTTGTGTTGCAACAAAATGTCGGATAAATCTCTGACACGCCCAATTTGACTGACAAATGCAACAACACATCTATTGTTACTATAATCTGTTAGATAAACAACGTATTTTATGGGGTGGTAATGTTTAAAAAATGAATATAACATTGTTGTTTTGATATTGTAGGTATTAAGACTGGACCGATGTTATTTTAGGGTGGAATTCTGTCATTTTTAATACAATTTTTATGGTGGGTAAACTAACAGACGTAGACGGGTCAAGTAAAAGTAAATAACTACCTTTTTTTACTTACGCGCACACGTTATTTTTGTGCTCAGATAGCACCCACCAGTGAGGTGATTATGTCGGACTCGATCCGAATAAAAACCGCACGCCGTCTCCAGGTACCAGTAGCCGGGGAACCAGGTATACCCTAGACAGCAAAGCCCTAGTACCACGTACACGTAGCCACACGTACCGGTTGCCACGGACACCTGGAGCCCAAGAGTCGCAAGCACTTTGCAACTTTTTAAGTCCCCTTCCCAGAACTGGGTGGTTGGGGTGGATTGGGTTCCGGTATCTATCTATCTATTCTCTCACTGGTGTGGGGCTGGTGGAGGCTGTGGTATCACTCCGATCTGCTCTCATGTGCTCAAATATGAATCTCTCACGGTTTTCTGAGAGGAACCTAGATTCATTTGTTTTGTTTGACTATTTAGGTTCAAAAATATTAAATAGGTAATATAAGTTTTCGTTAAAATTAAACTGTTAAAATGTATACATTGCTTGATTTATATTTTTACTTGCAACAAAACCAAAAGGCCTTTGTGGCAGTATTTATCACGTTATGAACATAAGTTCTGTAAGGTCCGTCTTATCTCCTACTTACAAATAAATATCAACAGATTAATAATGTATTCATTGTTGCAGTGAGGCCTGCTCAGGCGCATACGCAAGTGTTCCCGTTACCCGGCGGTTTCCCTTGGGCACATAGTTCAAGAGGTTTGTGTCTTTTTATTTTAAAATAGAGTTTAGGCACAAGAAACCCATATCCTTCTGTTCTTATCTATTTTAAGAATACGAGTTGTAACCACCCCTATTCATCCCGTGGTCAGATCTGCTTAGAGAAGGAAATCTCGATACAAACTTTGTAGCAACCTGCCTGGCCAGCTTGGTATAGTAGACCAAAACGTCCTTTCTAAGAAGAGGCCTATGTCTAGCAGTGGACTAGTAAAGGCTGTTAATGAATGCAATGCATCGTAATTCAATGGAGCTACTGATATGATGATACATATCAATCGACCGATTGCCATTGATAAAACGGAAAGTATACCCTTGTAAATAAAAAAGAGTTCTCCAAATCGGTTAACGAATTAAGGAGTTCTGAGGTAACAAACGTAGAAAAATTACAACCAAATTGAATATATCCTTATTATTTTTGTAGTCAGTTAAAATTATAAACACTTTTTAAATTCTGGTACGTCTGTGGTTAAGTTTTTTATATATATTTTATACCGATCAGGTAAACCACGTCGTGGGATGATGCGACGCGCGGTCTTCTCAGATCTTCAACGGAAAGGATTAGAGAAGCGGTTTCAAGTTCAGAAGTATATCAGCAAGCCGGATAGGAAGAAGCTGGCGGAGAAACTTGGACTTAAAGATAGTCAGGTGAGAAAATATATCTGAACCATAATACCCTCAGAACAGAGAATAAGGTAGAAAAGCTATGTAGGCGGGGCAGGTGCGATGAAGTTACGAGCGAGCGCGCGTAACTCACTGAAAACATTCGTACTAGCGTTTTACTTTCGCCGAGAATGTAGCTGTGATTACGTGTAGAAAAATAATCTCTGTTCTGTGGTAATGTTAATATATGTTTTTTTAAGCCCTAAACTAAAAATTATTCCAGCGTCGTCGGAGACATTACAATCATTAAAACAGGTACGAAAAATACGCAGTTATGCGACAGCTTTTCGCGGGTCACTCAAATTTTTGTAACGTTTGAGAGTTGAATTAATTTACTTAGCATGGCTTTACGAGGCGAAATGTTTGAACGTTGAGTTATCCATGCATTCAGTTGCTGACTTCTTTACAGGAGTGCTATACAGCAGGTGTTATTATAAGAAGTAATCCTTGCGGCTTTTTATTGTTTACTGCTTTTAATGACCAAGAAAGCTTCATGTACAAATACGAGTCGTACAATGGAGGACGTAATGCCACAGGAATTTTCGCCCAGTCTACCTTAGGGTGGTGTAAATGTATGACTAGGTGCACTAGAGATTGATGTGGTATGGTAAAGTAAGAGAAAATTATTGAGAAGTTAGACATACACATACATAAATACTTACCTGGTTACATATATACATATCTATATTTATAAAATAAAGTCGTGTTAGTTACACCATTTATAACTCAAGAACTGCTGGACCAATTATTATGATTTTTGTGTTTTTGGATTCCTCTTCATCCGGAATAGGATAATATATATTAAAATATGATATTCATCAATAAAAAAACATTAAAAAACATCAGTCTAGCCGTTCATTTGTAATAAATGGTATAACAAAAAGCAACTAATAGCATAGATAGAACTGATAGCATAGATAGAATGTTGTCTAGGGTTTGTTTTGAAAATACCGCAAAACGTTGAAATCGAAGTTGACTGGTCGATGTGTTTTTTTTTGTGCCAGTGTTACGAGTTTCTACGAGTATTATTATAATCAAACTTATTGTGCCGATATTACTGTGCACGAAGTTCGCCGGGTCAGCTAGTAAAACCTAAATATTAAAACTTTAAGGTTGTAATGAATCTGCTAGGGTGTCCAGAATGCGAACTCGAACTTTCATCTCGAATGAGAGGTGGCCGTATCAATTTTTAAATGTCCGAGGTATTCTAAACAAATGCTAAAAATCCTGGTAGTACAGGTTAAGACAATGGCTGTAATACGTTTAAGTGATGTATTTATGTATGCTTAAATATAAAATACAATACCTAATCTATGTTATTGATATTTTGGTCTAGTGGCTAGTGACCCTGACGGCTAAGCCAGTGGTTGTGGGTTCGATTCCCACCCAGGACAAATAATTGTGTGATGAGAATGATTTTCTGTTCTGTGTCTCGGTGTAATTGATCTATGTGTGTATTTAGATATGTTTATCAGCAGTCTAGTTACCGTAGTACCATAGGGCTCTGCTTACCCTATTATTAACATCTTTAACGTACACATGTTTATGCAAATAAAATATCTTGTATCTAGTTTGGGATTACATTGCCGCGTGTGAGATGTGTAAAGTTATTATTATTAACAAATTGCCTACAAGATGCTTTAAGAGTTTAGGTAAACTAGCAAATAACGTAAACTATAATTAGCTAATAAATAAACTGGAAGATGAAAATAATAAATTGACTATATTGACTCGACACACCTCACACACGGCCGTCTGATCCCAAACTAGACAGAGCCTGTACTATGGTAACCAGACAGCTGATAAAAATACTTATATATTTTATAAATACATACATATTATAGATTAATTACATCCAACTAACACACACAATTAACAAAACGGCCAGTCATGTGCAACATCAATTAATTGTCCTGGTAATAATAATATTTTTTTTTCGAATGAAACCTTCGACTTCTAGACCAGCAATCCGAATTACTCATCACTAGGACAACAGGGCAGTCATGAATAAAGTAATAAGGATGTACCTTAAAAACAAACTATAAATGTCATTCACAAAGCACACGCACTCTAAATAATAATCTCAAACTAAAGTACTTTTATTTATACGAAATAGCAAGCAAACACGATAAATATATCGTAAAAGGCATCAAAACCAACCCGTCAAGGAGTCGTAAGTATACAATTTTCCCGCCAACGACCCCCAAGGGGAGTTAACACAGGGTGTTACAAAAAATAGCTACCCCTGAGGGCTCAGGGGGCTGTCATACGCAGCCGTTGGGCCCGCCCCGCCCCTAGGAAACGTTTAAAACAATTACCGAACGATATTTGAATTTTAGCATTGAGACTTTTTGGTTGGCTGTATGGGTGCATGCCGTTGCCTCTTCGCTGTTTGATGATTGCTTTTCGAACCTAAAAATGTAGTTTTGAGAATTGTAATTTGATGTTGAAATCAATGTTTTAATTAAGATACACACATAAATAATGTATTGTTGAACTTCTAAGGCGTTTAGTTATTGAAACGGGACGATTTGGGGTCACAATTGGGGCAATTATGACCTACTTAAACGACGTTTATTAAGCGGGAAAGACTGACCCTAGATAATTCAGGGTAGATAAAATACCATATTGTAATGTTTTTGTAAAAGTTAATAATTTATATTTTTATATTACAAGTTCTTTTCGTAGAATATAACTATTCCATTATTGCAACAATAGTATTCAAAAGGAAATTAAATATTCGACGCCTAGCTCACGGGGTTCTTGCTTTCGTAGTAGGTATTTTGTCTATGTTTTTCTTGAAGCCAAAATGAAAGGTGTACGTAAAAAGTGGTAATGGTTGGTCAATAGTTGAGTAATACAAACTCACTTACGAGTACGTATTTATACCTAATATTAGTTAGAATAAAATCAGTAGATACTGATTATTTTATCGTTAATAGTAGTAACTATGTAATTTTTAATTTATTTTGCTGAATTAAACTACAAAAATATTTTTAATACTCAGATTATTCTTTGTTTCACATATTGGCTCTAATTAAGAAAAAGAAAACAGCGTAAATTGATGTGTTTATACTATTTCTGGTTTCTTTAAATAGATTAAAAAGAACATATTTATACGAAACACATTTTAATGTATCTTAACATCCTAGTGTGCTTAGATAATTTTAAAAGATGCATAAAAAAACAATTTATTATTAGGGGATATAATCGCCATCTGTAAACAAAGAATACTCAATACGACATTACAAGGTTCTATTAATGAACTGCGCAGTTTATAAATACATAAAAAACCTATAAAATACAAAAGCATAAAATAACACAACAATCACGGACAATGAAAACATTTTTATAGAGTTTCCGGGCTTCCAACAAACCGATACTTACCGGAAAATTGCGGAGGTAATCGGTTTTCCCCCTCGCATTGTAGACGGTATTTTTTGTTTTCGATTCGATTACGAACGGGGAAACTTTAGATTGTTTAATATAATATTTTATTCTGACTTCAAAAATAGAGAATTGTCACAAAAATTTGGATGTATTTTTTTCTGTTTTTAAATCAGAACGCTGTCATTTATTTATGGATTTGGGAAATTATTTGTTTATTTAGAACGGTATTTGGTCCCGTTTGCTCAACACATCAAATTTGAAGAAAAAATTGACATTTAAGTGTGAAAATTAAGGAATGAAGATAACAGTTTTCCATCATGATGTAGGTGCATTAAATGCGGAATACCTACTTATTTATATTGTATCAACGTTTATAAATTTATTGTATATACGAGTATAACATATTATTATATTGACTTGTTTCGGAATTATGGTGGTTTGGTGTTAGAAGGTTTTAAATATGGTGCTGTTGTTCTGCGTAGTTTGCTCCCTTAGTCGGCTCTTACGATACCCACGGGATGAATAGGTGTGGTGACACTCTGTATTCTTAATCCAATTTAAAAAAACTTTGTTTTTAAATACCAATAGTATTCGACCAGAATCTCTTCTGCGACCCATCTTCTCCAAATTTAAAAGAGGAAATATGAAGAAGTGCATTGGGACTTTGGAAGTGGTGAAGCTTCTGATAAACTCAGTTACTCGGTGAAATACCGGCTTTCTGTGAGGGTGTGGTAGCACTCCGCTCGAGCCGGCCCATATTTAACTGGGGTGGTGACACTCTGTATTCTTAATCCGTCACTACACAGACAACCCCCCTATACAATAAAAAATACCTAAGTGAAGACAGTAAGATTTCAACCGAAGACTATATTTATTAAGAAAGCATGTTTATCTAATATCATCCTCCACAGATCAACTATCCACGAATAAGATCGTTTGTCTTAACACCTCAATACCACCCCTTATACCCTCTCAACAAGGTACCCCATCCCCTAATTCGATAAACGCTACCGATTATCTACCCCCTTGTATTAATTTAAATGGCGCGGAGGGTGCGGTTGAGTCGACTCCCGTCTAAATATTGTTTTATTTTTTTTAAATTGGGGTTGATTTTTGATTTTGTTTATGGTATTTTTGGTTGAAATTTTTCTTTTGTTTATCTATACAAATAAATAAAATTCGAGTGTCTGTTTGTAATATTAAAATAACCGCTTTATACTAAATGCATATGTATGTTTACACGATACATATGCCAAAATCACATTATTTACAATTTTTGTCTGTCTGTCTGTCTGTTTGTTCCGGGTAATCTCTGGAACGGCTCGACCGGACGACGGGACTTTCACTGGCAGATAGCTGATGACATAAGGAGTAACTTAGGCTACTTTTTTTAGACTAGCTTCGCCCCGCGGCGTTGCCCGCGGTTATAACAACAAACGCGGGTAACACCGCGGGTCTCAGCTAGTTTTTAAATATATTTAGATTGACTGCACGGATGGCGTAGTAGTTTAAGCGGTCGCCACGCCGCTTACTACTACGCTAAGTGCTGTGAGTCCGATCCCTACATGGGACTACACTTTGTGTGATCCACAAATTGTTGTTCTGAGTCTGGG